AGGAGGCTTCCCAGGGATAGCCCATAAAGCAAGACAGTAGAAACTTGTCTGCTGTGAAGGAGTTTTCACTTCCGTAAGCAGGACAAGATGTCATAGAGAGCAGAGACAGTAAACAAGGTACAAGTTTAAGTGGAGGAACTGCCTCAGTTTAATTTTGGTCAGACTTAATGTGTGATTGCAGTTTCGAAAGCTGCATTAGTACTGAAAACCACAGGAAACATCTTTATGTTCAGGTAACTTGCCACAGATTTAAGAAAGTTCTATGAAGATGATGCATTTTTTTTCTATTTGGGGATATTAAGAATAATTCAGTCCTAGTCTTCTAAGCTTTGGAAATAGAGATGAACTAAATGAATGCTCAAGAACTCTTGCAGCAAACTTTTCTGCTGTTATCCTATGATCCTACTCTCTTACTTTTGCTAGTGAATTTAAAGTCACAAAAAGTTGATTTAGGCTTGGGCCTTGGCTCTTCATAACCTCATGCTACAAAGACCTGAAGCATTTAAGTATTTGGAGCAGTTGATCTGTCACGGGAAGCACTTAATGTTTAGCAGCATCTGAAAATAGAGGAGTCATGCAGCTTAGTGAATCAAAACCTCAGCTCACATCCTACGACAGGAAAGGTCCTATGCCTTAGGTCATGCCCTAATGTATAGAAAGACTGTGACGATTAGTGCTAAACTAAAGGTTTGACAAGAGAACAACCACGGAGTCTCCGTCTGAGCAAAACGTACCAGGGGCCAGATGAGTCATTTGTTGAGGCATGTATATGTCACAGGCTTGCGGTGCCCAAGACCGCAGCCGAAGGAAACTATACGCATGAGATACCCAGAATGTCACAGGGTGATAGATGTGATCAGATGGCCACAAATAATCCCATTAGATGAAAAATTGCTTTTTTTTCTTTTCTTTTTAAACATTTCAGAGTATGTTATTCAGTGAAGTGCCCCCAAATTTATCAGTTCCGATCAGCTCTCTATGAGAGCTGAGTTGATTTGTCTCCATGTACCAAATAATAAGCTTGCATTTTATCAGACATGGACAGGGCACAGGTAGCACATATGCATGTAACTGTAGCTAGAACTTTGCACTGGAGTAGAAAAGAGATTATGGCTAATGAGCACTACAGCCAAACAAATATAGATAATAAAACCCTAGCAAGGGCTGAAAGTCTCAGGGATACATGAATATTGCATTTTGCCATACATCTGTTTTGTAACCCCTCTCTTTTCCTCTGGAGAGGAGAGGTGAGGCAAGGCAAGGCGAGGAGAAGGAACAGTAGTTCAGCAGAACTACCCCCAGATACACAAGAAGCGCATATCTCATGCTGTCATGCATGTCCCACAAGTCAAAATTGAACTTTCCGGCAGCATGCTGCAGCCAGGCTGATGGGAGCAACTACTGCTGCTTATTCTCCATACCTGAAGGTGCCAGGATTCTCTTCGGGGTCCAAAGCATGGTTAGCACTGGTGGGGTTGTTGCTGGGGAAAAGCAG